GTAAGATAAAGATAAGAGTTTTCCAGCATACAGCAAATTCCCGAATTGAGGTGAAGTGTAAGAATACAGCTCAAAAATGTCACTTACGAAAGCCTGAACTCACCTAAGAATCAAATTCCTTTAGGGTAGTGAGCCAGTGTGAAAAACAATTCCTAAAGTACAACGTTCAGAACATGTAACATTAATCAAAATGCACGAGAAACTTACCTCTTCATGTACAAACAGTGAAGACATCTCTGCTTTCTCTTTTACATGAGAACAAATGATCTTGGGCGTGGCACTAGCGAAGAGGTCTGCAAAAAAAAGTGAGAGATTTACTGACTTTAATCACGCCTCTAACAATCTGAGGAATTCTTACAAGTCACCAATCAGTGCAATTCTGACTGCCTCTATAAGGACATCAAAAATGAACAATTTTCTCGTTCTTTCTACTCTCACAAGACGCTCCGTCAATGGAATCTAATCCAAATTTGACGCTGTGCTTCCTATTTGCCTGCTTTCTAGACGTAGGGCTGCGAACATGTGTTTTATGCACCTAATCTAGCACAGAAGTTCGTCATCTATAATTCAATCTTCGTAATTCATTGTAATTTGATAAAAGATGTGATAGCTCGTCCAGTTTAAAGAGTTGCGGGCCTGCAATAGGCACTGCCTTGCACGTATGACAGTGCAAAAAACAATTCAAAGCTTGCTTTCAGATAAAGCGTCTGGCATATTTCGACAACCAAGCCCATCCTCTGATGGCAATTAGGGGCACGCTATTAGCGATTATTGACTACGAAATTCACAAACGTAACCCGTGCCTAAATACTCAGTTAAACACAATCACGCAAGTAAGAGCGCTCGAACGACACCAACGCGCGCGGAGGCCGACTACGTTGCAGCAGCCATGGCTTATGCTAGAGCTACCGCACATAGCTCCCGCAGTCACGTATACTCTCTCGATTATGTTATAACGCCGAACGTTATCGCAGATGAAGGCAAAGCACGAAAACAGCAAACAGAAACGAGGGAAAACAACGCACGGCGATGGCCACAACAACGCGCCTTTGGAAGTCTGCTAGATCTTTCCCTGTTGCAGGTGACACTTGTACTAAATAGCTTAAAAGACCGAGGCGCACGTGCTGGGAGCATTGCGGCATATCAGCAACTAAAACTATACCGTCTTTAAGCAAAAAAAGCCATTTCGTACAGTGCGCCTCTGTACATAATTTTTTTTCTTTTTCTTTCTTTTTTTACGCTTACACCTACAGAAGCACGTTTCACATTTGAGTATTAATAAAAATGTTATTACGATGTAGCCCAAAGCACATTTTAAAACAATATCAATCACTTTGTGCAGTGTAGAGACAATGTGCGATCAGCAACTAATCCCGCCCTTGTTAAGTGATCACATCACCCACTGTATGAGTGATGCAGGCACTTACACAACATCGCGCATAGCAGTGTGAACTCGTTAAGTCACACGTTTAATCGGGCATCTGCAAGAGGCTCGCGAACGCATGCTGTTGTAAGTGGCTGGCAGCCTACTTCGCCAGAGCTGCTGCAGGCGCCCAGCTAGCGCTGTATGATTACTACCTACGAAAACAGTACACTCACCGTTCACAGGCCCACGTTGTCCGTGTCCGCCACTCCATGAATATTCCTTAATCCGAGCGTCACTTCGAACACGGTGTCATGCGTGACCACCATTGAATATGCGCCTGTTCTCTGGAACACACACAACGACCAAGACCCCAGACCAACGCAACGCATTTGAAAGACGATGAGACAGAGAGAGCGACGTTGAGAGAGAAAAGGAGGAGGCACTGGTGGCGGCGCCGCAGCTGTCGACGCAGGTGTTCGGTGACGCAACTATTTGCTTATCTACGCCGCCGTTGTGGGAGCAACGCTGGCTGGGGTGAGTGGGGGGGGAGGAGCGGGAAACCCGCCAGGACGGCGCCGAAAGGCAAACGCTATGGCGCATACGGCGGACGGCCGTTCATCGCGGAATGACTCCTTGTAAATGGCAACTCTCCTTCCAGCCAGTCGCACAGCGACGCAGGTTATTTACCAGCCTCGGGTTCTTTGAGTATTTTGACGGAATGCAATTGCAGTGGGCGAAAAATAGTGAAGCAACACTTGCGGAAAACAAAGTGAACCATAGAATGACCATAAACAATAATTATTTCGTCCTCGGTGGCATTAGCGGGAGAGCATCGCTACACCTTTTTCCAGAGAAATTTCTTTTTGCATTGTCTGTGTCTGGCACATCCGCGTATGGTGCCGCAAACAATGAATGCGTAGTCGAAGCTCGAACAAATTAATTCACAGTCGCGGATGTTTAGAAGGCTTGTCATGCACCACGAAACGTGCCGAGGTTGTTATAACAAACTTTTTGCTGACCACATAATCAGCACATAATTCCGTATGGTTACCCAATGAGCTAGCTAAGCACCTGTAGCAAAGGCAGGGCACGTTCTTGTTAAACGTTGTTAATATAAACGATGGTTGTGCATGAATGCAGTGACAGCTTTCCGTGGGAATTGGTCATAACCCACGTTTTCGAGCGTAGAAGCACCTCAGTGGACCGTATCAGCTACCACAGCAAGTTCGTAAGCAACGATCAGGTACGAAAATGTGCAGCTGTTTTCCATGTACTGAATAGTCCGTGTACAGTGCGTTGACCACCGCCATTTCTTAAGCCACCTCCCATATAGACTCCCAGTCTGAACAGGTGTGGGACCTTAAACAATAAAAAGCAGTGCCTCCCTCCCCCCCGCACACACACACACACGAAATTCGAGGGCGCACGGGCTGATACACACGCATACTTATTCACAGGCGCGCACACACACACACACACGTATACACACATACGGCCACACACACACGCGACCGTAAACGCACGCATGCATGGGCGTACACATGTGCACAGGCACGCTTAACAAAAGCATGGACTCGTACATACACGCGCACGCACACATGCACGGGTGTACACACAATCGCGCTAACACGCACACACACCCATACTCGGGCGAACATTTTTTGTGTGTGTATAATCCATAGCAAACATGCAGCTTATAACCAACGCTAAGGAAAGCTTTCGTAACATGGATTGCAGTTGATTGATTTGTGGGGTTTAACGTCCCGAAACCACCATTTGATTATGAGAGACGCCGTAGTGGAGGGCTCCGGAAATTTTGACCACCTGGGGTTCTTTAACGTGCACCCAAATCTGAGTACACGGGCCTACAACATTTCCGCCTCCATCGGAAATGCAGCCGCCGCAGCCGGGAATCGAACCCGCGACCTGCGGGTCAGCAGCCGAGTACCTTAGCCACTAGACCACCGCGGCGGGGCGACATGGATTGCAGTTAATTGCCATTATAGATGAAACGCGATTTTCTTCTGCTGACATTCTGCTGTATTCGGAGAGCACCTTCACACATTCTAAGTCAATTAGGCCACCATTTAACGCAAGGTCCACATATTCGTGCAGTAGCTGCGCTGCTCGGCCGCCAATCCGAAGGTCGCGGGTTTGATTCCGGCCGTGGCTGTCGAATTGAGGTGGAGGCGAAAAGGTAGAAGCCTTTGCACTGTGCGATATGAGCGCTCATTAAAAAACACCAAATGGTGAAAATCTCTGCACCTTTCCACTACGACGACCCTCATAATCATATCGAAGTTTTTGAGACGTAAAATCCCAAATATTATAATTATGTGTTCTTCTTATGCTGCATATTCCATCTGATGAATCGGCCCCTACACCCTTCTCAGACAAAAAAGCACCCTTAGAGCCTATTTTAGGGTGCTATTGAGGCAAGCACCCAAACAAAGGGGTGCTTTTTTTCAATCGACCATTTATGGGTGTTAAAGGGTGTTGCAAAGGGTGCTTTCTCGTAAAAGCACCATTTTTACACCTTTTTGGGTGCAAAAATTTTTACTGTGTAGGTATAACATGTCTATCACCTGTGGCACATACCCGCCTTTGGGTACGTGCCACTGTTTTTGAGAAGTGTTTGACGACGTATGCCATGAGATCGTGACATTATTCTTGTCATGACCAGTGAGTCAAATTTGATGAAGCATCTTATTCTCTCGTACTATTTTTTATGTACCCCATCCTAAAGGGCCTTCCAAAACTTTTCAAGTACCTTTTTTGTATGTTTTGCGTAGACTGATGGCCAGAGATAATTTTAGCATAGGTCCACACACCGATATCAAATCATTTATTATTTTAATCGTGCAATAAAATCACCTCATCGCTGCCGACCATGTCGGCGCACAGTGGCAGGTGCTAGAACTACACGGGCGGAAATGACGACGATGAGCGCAGCCTTTCATAGGACGCGTAAAGCCTCGCTGTGAAGCGACAGGACCTGATCGAGTTCTGACAAGTCGGGGAGGCTCATTTCTTCTAGCTCCACCCAGCTGGTCGAACGCGTAAACAAAACGGTGTGGTCAGGCACCACGTTGACTGTTGCTATAGCAACAGCGTCATAAACATCGTTGACTGAAGAGGCAACAATGGTGTACGAGCTTCCTCTACGTAAGAGCTTTCAGCCCATGTCATTGGAGGCCCTCTGCAACGTCACAGCAGAGAGTTAAATGTGGTCATGTAACCCCGCGAAATTCCAGCTGAGAGTAGGCATTGTTTTTTCTTGTGTTTTGAATTTCTTAAATTGATAACGTCGTACTGCATGCCGCTATCGCGTCAGTCTATGCGGTCCACGAGTAAAAAATGGGTGGTTGAAAAGTGTTGGAAGGCCCCTTTAAGGGAGTGATCATAAGAGCACCCAGATATAGGCGGCTAGATAAATAGGTAGATGGATAGATAGGTACGCAGACAGATGCCAAAAGTGCTTGCAGTACGCTACGAAATGCTTCCCATATATTGCCAATGTTGAAAGACAATGTGGATCTGTCTACAAACACTGTTAACTAGGTTCTCCTCACTGTTCTGAGTGCCATTTACTATTCCGGTAAAAGAAAATATATGAAACACATTGCTTCTCTAGGGCGCAGATTGTGTGCAGGCAGTGGGCTCCGGTAGATCTTCCGGAATATCCAGCCGGGAGGATTTGGCCCCGGGGACACCAAAAGGCGACACTCATGTTGTCTGTGAGAAGATGCGTACATATACGGGAGGTGATGCTTTGCCATCCGTGGTTGCATTGCGTGCACGAAAGATGGGAATTGACTACAGAGAGCTATCAACCGAAACTGTGCACATTCCTCGGGACATCAAAGTATTTAAAAATGGCTGCAACATCGAGCTGGCGCTTGCCAAAAATCAAGGCGCCATTGCTTTGCCGGGTACCGCCGAAGACTCACGTAGGTACTTTAATCTATAAGTATTGTTTTAGACGCATGGCAGATGTTACTCAAAATAACGCCTGCCGTTAATGATGTTTGCACGATTGCATCGAGAGCAAGACTGCAGCAGCGTGATACAGCTTCACGGTGTGAAATGCTGCGCATAAACCGACACGCAGGAGCACGACAAGCGCTTGTCTCGAGTTCTTTTGTGTGTCGTCTTGATGCGCTGAAGTTCACACCACGACAGCAAGATGTTTGTGTCACTGTGGGGAATATTTCTAAGTGCGGAACATCTCTAAGTGAATTCCTTCAACTTCGTGAGTATCCATCTCTATCTATCTATATCTATATATCAATCTCTATTTCTATCTTACTATCTATGACTATCTATCTATATCTATCTATCTATCTATCTATCTCTGACTTTTTATTTGCTGTTTGTTTCTTTAATGACATGCATACGAAATCGGTGTAGCATAACATGGCAATAAAAACATGACTGAGAGACCGTGACATGAAAATAATAGAAAGCAAGTCTGAAATAAATGATTTAGATGCCACTACCCGTTTGCTGAGATTTGGGTGCGCGTTAAAGGACCCCGGGTGGTCGAAATTTATGGAGCCCACAACAACGGCGTCTCTTATAGTCATATGTTGGTTTGGGACGTTTAACCCCACATACAAATCAATCAATTAGATGCCACTATCTTCGTGGTATTTCAGCTGCTTCGTTAAGTACATATATACGACTCTGAAGGCATTGTATTATGCATTCATACACAGTCATCTCAGTTATTGCATTACATCATGGGGTAATTCATATTCGGCGCACATTTGGCCGTTAAAGGTATTGCAAAAACAAGCAATTAGACTCATAACTTTCGCTTCACGTCAAGCGCCATCACATGAGATTTTTCCCCAGCTTGACGTATTACCGATCTCCCAAATGTACGTTAACAATGTGTGTGTTTTGTTTTTCAAAATTTTCCACCCTACCCTCACTATCGACATCTTTCCTATTTCCTTGTTGGATAATTCCAATAATACTAGATTCGCGGTCGCCCTTAAGCTGTTATTACCTAAAGTTCGCACTAATTATGGAAAAAAGATCAGTGTTTCTTCATCAATTTCAATATGGAATTCTTTATCACATGATGTGAAAGACCTAATGCACAATCATGTTTTTAAAAGGAAATTGAAAAAGTCTCTATTAAACGTATAACTGCTAGATTTTTTCAAGTTTTGATATCTTGCTATGTTTGTAGACAAAAAGTTCGAAATGTTCCGTTACTTGCTCTTTCGTTATTCATATTTTAGCTTTTTTATTGTAATAACATAGCAGGTCCCGCCTGCGGTTTACTACCTTGGGACCTCCTCCTGCATACTTACTCACAATGTACACTTCTGATGCTAATAAAGAAACATTGATTGATTGACTATAGAGGATATAGAAACCAGTTGGTGCCCTGGAAACACTAAGACGAACGTCATGTTCATTTGGGTACGTTTCCGCAAAGATGCGTCACAGAGAGGTAGAACCGTTCTCATTGGTGAGCTTACGGAACGAGCAAAGCACAGTTTTCTATTTCGTTATCCAGTGCGAAATGGTCAGAACCTTGCTGTGCTGCCACTAGTTTACGAGAACGCAATATTGGGGCTCTGCATGCTTTAGGAATCATCCAGACAGCAGCTGCATGAGGCGTATCGTTTCTCAAAGCCGAACAGCTTTTCCCCAAGAGCATATGTGCCTATGATCTGAAGTAGGCGTTCCAGAAAAGTCTTTAATGCAGAAAAAATGCAGTTCCTAAGTTTCTCATAAGACCCTGTGGAACCCAACATCTGCATTGTAAATCAGCACTACAAATATAACACCAGGCTTCAGATATCTAAAGTATGTTCTTTACGCGCGACATGTGGAACGCCGTGCTGCATTCCTCGACTCATTTCTTTATCCACAGGTGCCTCTGAACCCTCCGCATAAGCGCGGGTCGTATTTTTTCGAAATAAACATGACATAAACACGTGCAATAACGGGGTGTCGCAAACCAAAAGAAAATATTCATTGAGCGTATCAAATATATGAGGATAAAGCGTCTCGTGTAACGCGGTTTCAATACACACATTTTTCCTGGACGTCGTATGTATTCCGTGAATTGAGTGCTGTCGAACTGGTTTTCTTGAACGCTATACGTGTGCGTTCATTGACCTATTTTTCTAAAATTGCTATGGACCATCTTCCTGAAAGAAACCTTGATGAGATTTGAAGCAGCAGTGGGGCGCACGGAGTTCACTCGGTTAGAATGGGCACCGATGCTGGTGCTGGAAGAACGGTTTGAAGCGAAACTTGGTGTATATCGTTTAGTCGATGAACGTTTCTTTGAAACGAAAAGGCACGGGAGACAGGACGCGTTAGAGACGCTTGCGTTCGGCTTTCTTGGCTCACGTCTCGTCGGTGTTACCCGCGCGTCATCTGTATTCTTGAATGCGATCGGCGTTCTTGACTCGCACCTCTTTCGTGTCGCTTCTCGTCCTCTGCTGGCGCTTGTCTTTGGCTTCCCTGGCTCGCGCATCACTGGTGTTGACATCGCCATTCGCGAACACGACTGGCTTCGCTGACCCCCGCCATGCCGGCGACAGCCAGGAAAGGTACGCGCACACTAGTGGGAAGCATGCCACAATATCGTCTCGCCCGTCGGCGTAATTGCTCGGTAAGCAGATGGAGAGAGGTGGAACGAGTGAGATGATGGCCACGCGAAGAGTGCATGGGCTGGAGCGTTGTGTGTGGTGGAGAGGGTGAAGCGAGAGAGGTGACACGCGGCGGGTATGTGGCAGGCGAGGAAGAGGGACGTGACCACGCGCTGCTAGGAGGGCGTGACATACCTGGCACCGCTCCAAAACCTGCGGAGAGTGGAGTGGTGCAGAAAGATCCACAGCGTTACATAGGGTAGTCGAAGAGCTGCTTGGCATCCTAAATGTGAAGGACCATCTTCCAGAAGGGAACCTTGATGGAATGAATATGCATGCGAAGAAGCAGTGGTGTGAATGGTGTTGACAAGGTTGAAGCGGGGGTCGACGCGGGTGCTGGAAGTACGGTTTGAAGGGAAACTTGGTGTCGCGTTTACTCAAATAAACGTTTGTTTGAAACGCAAACACAGGGGAGGCGGGCTGAGTTTCCTGAAGTTTCATGGCAGGAAGTTGGTTTGCTTGATGTGCGCTCGAACAATGTGAGCGGTGGAGAAAGTGAAGCGTGCGAAATGACACGTGGTGAGCGGTGACAGGCTAGAGAGAGTGTGACGTCAGCGCGCGCGCAAGGCGAGGGAAGGCATGAGCTACTTCGCTCTGCCCAAACACCTGCGGCCATGGGGGAGCCCGGTGTGGTCGGTGGACAGCGTTACAAAGGCTACTCAAAGTGCTGCTTCGCATCTAATATCGTGCTCTTTGCTTTTGCATGCCACGTAAGCATTATTCATCACGCTCCGCGCGCTATCGAGAACAGAATAAAAACATGAAAGTGTCGGTGATACGCGGAAAGATGAGTACAAGCGTTCTACTGTACAAATGAGTTCTTTCATAGAACTGACCAAAATAAGCTTGTACGGCTCCGTACTGTGCGCTCTGTGTCCGCAGCACATGCTGACCTAAAGAAGCAGAAGGAAAACTAGCAGTTAAATATGCGAATATAACCGATGAGCGAACCTCCTTAGAAACAGGACGCAAGCTGCTATACATCTGATCACACTGCCAGCCTTCATGCAGGTGGTAGGGTGGGGCAGTGGAGTGGAGTGCGTAGGGAGCGTCTGCTGCACTTGGTCCCGAATGAGTGAGCGAGTGACACGGATGGGTTAGGCTGCACCTGCGCGCGCTTTTTTCTTATGGCCTTTTCACTCGTCGTGAATACAATGGGAGAGTTTCTGAATATCTTTCGCCACCCAGTAGGTGGTAGGAGCGCAGCGACCCTGACCTTGCGTCTTCTGCGCAACGCACAAGGCACAAGGGATGTTTGTCGATTTGAAACCATGGAATGTGGATTCTCGACGAAGGGGGGGAGGGGTAATAATAAATAAACCAGTAATAGAGGAAGGATCGTCTACCTAAAAAACGAATTATATCAGATGGCGTTCCGCTGAATGTAGGTATGGAAGTGGTTGTGGATAATACAAGCCTAAACTGAGTGAAAATGCAGAATAATCGGCTAATACGAGGCATAATTCAAGGAGGCATAATGCACTGGCAGTGATCAGAGGGATAGATAAAGGATGATGCACCTGTTTGCTAGCAGAGAGCACCAAATACCTTCGGCCCTAGGTCTCGTTGGGCAAAGCCATCGCAATTAAGAAAAGTAGCTCACAGAATGACGAGCGCGCCTTCACTTTGCTGGCTGTTTTCTATTTTCTTTTATTTTTAAAATATAAGTGGAGTGGTTTTCATGGCTAAAAATTGTGGTCTGCCGCCTGACAGCTCTTTAAAACGCGTATTTGTGTTGTATATCTAATAACTAAAAAATTGCGTACAGGGAGAAAGAGAGTAAAAAAAAAGAGATGACCCTTGCTGCAGAATAACCCCTTTGTACGGCATGCGCAGAAAGTGGTTGTGAGCATTGTCAAGGTGTTAACACCACCTGAAAATATTGATCCTGGAGAACCGAAGCCCTTTTCATTACTTTGTATTGCAAGCCACGTCCATGAAAAATGCGAACGAAGAACACAGCTGTTTACGCTTGCAAGGCGCTGAAACTTTAGTGCAAATCAGTTCAGCTCTATCCGTCGAGTTCTTAAAAAAACGTGTTTAAAAATAGAAACTTACAAAAATAAAACTTTTTGGCAAGTAATTCAGCTCTTTTTTCTAAAACATCTGTATGAATTCTTTTGTGGCTTAGTGATACAAGCAGGTTGTTGTCAATTTTCTTTTACCCCTCGCAAGCTTAAAGCAAGCTTGTGGCTTGCTTTATTGCAGGATTTGCGCATCACGGCTGCATTTCATTCGGTTATTTGTCAGTGTTCAGTCTACAATGATTT